CTCACGTCTCGAGCCCGCCACGGAGAGGTTGCCCTGCAGGGCTGCTGCCTTGTGAGCTCTTGGGTACCAGGCACCTGCCCACTGCCCCCTTCACACCCTTTCCGTCCCTCTGTCTCCAAGGCCAGGGCTTGGGCTGTGGGTGGTGCTGGAAGTCACAGGGGTTGAGTGGCAGCCCCACACCTGCTGACCTCGCCCCGTGTAAGGTGGGCCAGGCTGGGCCCCCGGCAGCCGAAGCACAGCCGAGCCGTGAGCACCCCCGCTTGTCAGGTCTCAAAGGGACAACCCCACCTATGGTCTCTGTGACCCCTACCTACCTGAACTGGGGGGAGCAGGGAGAAGGCAAGTGGACGGCCTGCCTGTGCCACCTCCCCAGCCGCCCTCCACTCATCACCCCGCCCCCTTCTCTCGGGGTGACGAGCTTGGCCTGGCTGCCGCTGGCCATTTGGTTTCCCTGGGTACCCTGGCCCCAGCTGTAGTGGTGACTGAGCCCGAGGAGCCCACACTGGGCGCCCCTCATTCTCACCCCAAGCTGCCCCATGCGTCCCCCCGGTTAAAGTGTCCAGGGCCCCCCCAGGCTGCAAGCTGATCTGTGGGGCCTGGGAGGGCGACCAGACAGTCTTATCTGCCTAGTTTCCTGATTCTGGGTGTTTCCAGCTGCACCCAAGACAGAGAAAGAAAACTCCTTGTCCTGAGGAAATGGGCAGCCGCGGGCCCTGGGCCCCAAGAGGGGTGGAAGAGTGGTCAGTGCTCTGGGGAAGGGGGGCCGGGGGGCATGGACGGGGCCGCCCCTGCCCTTAGACGTTCTGCCAAAGAAGACCCCTCCCCCCAGTGATGCAGATGCCCAGGTCGAGCCCACTCCCACGGGCCCTAGGCCCCTGCCCCTCCCTGGACGGCACACACATACCACCTTAAATCAGAGGCGGGGGGTATATATGAGCCAGGCACCCCGGGCTGCTGCCGCCACCCTGGCCAGGCCTGGGGCACTTGCCACACACACATGGAAGGGCCCTGCACTGGGAGAGCCTGGCAGGAGAGCTGACCCTGCCCTCCGTGGCTGCCCAAGGGCTCTGCCAACAACGGTCTGGGAGACAGCATCCAGAACCTTGAGGTTCCCAGGTGACGTGCCCCCGTGACCCTGAACACCCTGACAGGCAGTGGTGCCAAGAGGGGGCTGCTTCCAGAGCTCCCAGCAGAGGGAGGCGGGCAGGACAGGTTGGGGCCAGTCCTCCAATGCAGGGTTTTGCAGGAGGGGCTCCAGGCACCCCTCTCAGTGGGACAGGGCCTGGGGGAGGGTGGGAGGCCGGGACCCAGAGCCCGCAATGTGGGTCACAGGGCTGGACTCTCCGTGTCAAGAGACTGAGGCGACGAGGGGGCCAGGGAGCAGGACAGGTTGTTTCAGCTGGGTCCAGGTGTCAGCAGGCTGGGGTGATGAGGCCAAACCTCAGGGACCACCTGGCATGGCTACACTGGCCTGGGAGGGACCAAGAGCAAGTCGGCACGGGGGTGGGGGTACGCCTGCCCCCTGGTCTCCAGGGCAGAGCACACCCACTGGCACATGCAAGGCCAGTGTGTTCAGCTCCAGGGATGAGTGGGTGTGGAGCAGAAAGTGCTTGGTCAGCACACAGAAGCACATCTGTGACTGAGGTCCCCGGGCAAGAGGGAAGGACACACCCACAGCCCAGGGCCACGCCTCAGGAGTACGTGGGCCCACACCGCCTTCGGGGCGTCTGGGGCTCTCAGGGAGGGGGCGTCTCGGGCTTCAACAACTGCAGGGGGAGAGGCAAGCAGAGGCCATGAGCTCAACAGGTGGACGGACGCTGCCTGTGGGGAAGGGACGGTGCCTGCCAGGCCCGAGTCCCTGGGTCCCAGCAGGGGCTCACTCGGGAGCCACCCCATGGGAACCATGTGCCGGCCGCTGCGCTGTTCACTCCCTGGAAAACCTTGGGGACCTGGGGCCGGCCCTTTGTGAAGGTGGGGACTGTGCACGGGCTGCGTGGCATCAGCTCTGCCGCGTCCCCGTCTCACCCACCTGCTCCCAAACAGCTGACCAACCTCACCAAGGGGCTTCAAGAGGGCAGACACGAACGCCAACTCAGAAAATTAGTTTTCACAGTTAATCTACACCCATCAAAACTCAAGCTGACGAAATAAAGACCACGTGGCAGGGGCGGAGAAGAAAGGCAGAAACCGTCATGAATTTATTATTTACACGGTGGTTAGGTACACAAGTACAGTGGGCGCACAAACGCGCAGGCCCAAGACTGGCCACGGACACACAGGCTGACACAGACGTTCTCACTCTGCTTCCTGCAGGTCAGGTGGGGAGTCAAACATGGGGCTTGGGGGCACCAGCTGTCCACAACCGCACTGCTGAGGGCTCAGGGTCGGAGCCCACACCTCAAACGCCACCTGGCACTTTCAGGCAGCAACCTGCATGCTGACACCTCCCCGGGAGGGAAGGTCCCCTCTGCAGAAGGCACTGGGCCGCAGTGTGAAAGCCCCCAGCTTGCTCTGACTCACCCAAGTTCCGCCTACATGCCCAGAAACACAGCCCCACCTGGCCAACCGCTACGCCTGGTCACTTGCAGCACAGCCAGCCCAGGACTCGGAGAGAAGCAAACAGCTGCATTCTACATGTCAACACAGCAGTCAGGGCCCGCCAGCATCCCGGGGCTGTGACTTCGGGGGCAGGAAGGGAAAACGCAGACGGGGCACCTTGCAGGTCCCTAGCTTCCCACGAGTGCCCCGGTGCCAAGTAGCACACGCTGCAGCAGGGTGACAGGAAGCAGCAGGAAGGGGCCTCAGGACACACAGGCTGCACCTCATCTCCTGGCTACCGGCTGCCACCACCTCTGCAAGACCAGGGGCGCCTCAGGAGAGCTGCTCAGAGGGTCCCTCTGGGAAGACTCAGCCCTGCCCCCTTCTTGACCTCCATGGGGTTCACCTCGTCCCAGCGCAGGTCACAGAAGTGTGTGACCCCCTCACCCTCCCGGACAATCAGGTCGTCAGGGTCACCTGCTTCTTGGCACTTCAGAGAGGATTCCCTTGGGCCAGCCAGCCACTCTGGGCAACGCCAGCATCCAGCAGACGCCCCGGCCCCTGGTTTTGAGCACACAGATGTTAGCACAGATGAAGGGCCAGCCTGCACCGGCAACACTGTCTGTTCAGAAGACTTTCCAGGTTCAAAGGCATTGAGGCAGCCGTGGCCAAAACCACCACACACAGCCCGAGGAGGGGCCAGCGTCTCTCAGTCCGCATCCGCTCCCGAGGGTTGGCGACACAGCGCAGTCTTCAGGGCTCCTAGCTGCGTCCGGGAAGATCAGCCCGCGGGCAGCGCTGTCTGGAAGCACCCGCTGCACTCGGGGCAGCCGCGCTGTCTGGCCGCTCTCATGACCGACCACGAGGATCTCGGCGCTTCCGCGGCGAGCAGGCGTCTCAGTTCCCGGTGGGGAAGGGGGAGTGATGGCCAAGACCAAGTGAGTGAGGTCACGAAACAGCACACGACACGCACAGACATACACGTCACTTACACACGTGTGCACACGTGACAGTTTCTGACGAGAAAACCCCTCTCCGCGGCGGACCACACAACACACCACCACGAGACGCGGACCCCGGAGCCCACGTGCTCTGCTCCCTGCCTCACTCTCTACGCAAACTCCACGCCAGCGTCGGCTTCACAATTCTTTAAAGTCAGCATCTTTTTTAAGACCGCAAAAACAGACATGAAAGAAACAATAAAAAGACAGATTTCTTTACACAGATTTAAGCCAATAATTTTTAGCAAAATGATACAAAACTGTCTTAACCAAGTAGAAGGTCGGTGGGTACAGTAGACTCGGCAGGGCCCGGCTGCACCGGAGGGACTGAAAGACTCCTGGGCGGGAGTCTGACTCTCCGCAGCCGCCTCACTCGGCTTCTCGTCCCAGCCCCGCTATCACCGTGTTCCCGGGGGCCTGGTACAGCCCCCGGCGATGGCAGCGCTTGGATTCTGTCCGGTTGGGTGTGTGTTTGGTTCCCCATGGGAGTTGCCGGGTGGGTGGCCTGGAGCTCCTGGTGGTAACGTTCCGGTTCTAGACCGGGGGGGCGTGTCACTAGTAACAGAGGAGATCAGCCATGCATCGTCTGCCCTCACCGCAAAAGGAGAGTTCTCATCGGTGCACGACAGACTGAAGACCACTGGAAGCCACCCGACCGGGAATCTGTCGGAGCCAAAGCACAGAAGAAGGTCAGCGTGAGGCCAGGGGAACGGAGCCAGGCAGGCTTGGACACAAAACACCAAGGACAGCGCCCTGGGAGGGAGGGGACACAGATGTCACCTAGCCCCACTCACTACACGCGCGCCCCTAGCCACTCCGGAAGGTCCCTCTGAGGCCAGGACACGTGCAGCAGGAAAGGCAAGAGAAGACAGGGAAGGAAGAAGAGCCATGCAGGCAAGGAGGCTGGAGGCCACGGGGCCGCCAGTTCACGATCGGTCAGACCAGAGTCCAAGCGGGGAAAAGATGCTTGCTCCCAGCCCCCTTCCTGCCAAGTAACCTGGTGTTCTGATATCAGAGACCGGGCCTCACGTGGTGGGCACTGGTACTCCGCCTGGGACAAGACGTGAACACGAGCTCCCATCAAGAAGCTGCAAGAGCGCAGTCACGTCACGACCGACAGAAGCTGCAAGCCCCCGGCTGGGAGGAGCCGCCAGGTGGGGGGCCCAGCTCGGACAGCCAGCCACGCAGCGACGGCAGGGAGCAGGCGGCTGTGGCTGATGGGTTAATACAGAAGAGAACGTGGACGAGATGCTGGGCAGAGACCGAGTTCAATAAGAAAAGCAAACAAGGAAGACAGAGATCAATGCTGAAGGAAGAGAGATGACAAAGCCAGGACAGCAGAGACCACCCAGAGGGCCCCACGCAGCGGAGCCCCACTGAGCGCGGCCCACATGGTGGAGCCCGGCACGACACGCCCGCATAGCCACGAGCGTTCTGGGGCCACTGGGCCGAGCCTGGGCTCCCAACTCCAGACCACTGTGGGGCGCAAAGACCAGCGGACAGCGAGCAGGATTCCGGGGTCACCCCAGACTAGAATCCGCGTGAGAAGACCTGGGCAGAGGCCCTTGCTCGACCTACAGCGCCTGGCATGCAAGCCCAACCCCACAAGCCCCCGGAGGGCGAGGGGCCGTCGGCTCCCACCCCGCCCGGTGCCTGCCACCTACTGAGCCCCGCCAGGCGCACACTCACCCAGCGCTGCCTTCCGACGGGAGACGTGCAGCTACTTGCCGTGGTGCTCGAAAGGAATGCTATTCTGAGGTGGGGGGAAAAGACAGCTGTTGGTAAGGGTTCCCCAGGCTGGACCAGAACGTGAGACCCTCCTGCTTCTGAAGGTGCTTCCTTGCCTCACCTCAACCAAGTCTGCAAACACAGGCCGGGCTGCTAGGGGGACCCCAGGACCACGCAGGAGCTCAGGCTCGCCCCTCGAGAACGGCCCCCGAACACATGGCCACTCCTCGAGGGTGGGTCTGTCAGTGACGCGACGAGGGGCCAGGACAGACCCCGCCGACCCCTTGGGCAGCAAGAGAACCAGATGCCCCGCGGCAGCCCCTCCAGCGGCAGCTCCCAGAAGCCTGTGCTGGGCAGGTGAATAGGACGGCACCTCCCACGACACACAGACTGGACACAGTTCCTCACAGACGCAAGGAGAGGACGGGGCACAGACTGCACTGGGGGTCACGAGTTAGAGTCAGTCAGTCTGAAGGAACGCCAGGGACCAGCACTACGTCCCCCGACAGTGCTGGGCCAACGAGCACTTTCTCACGGAGAAAAACGTCACGAACAGGCTCACCCACCAGAAGCCCTTTAGTCTCCCCGGTTTTCTGGCTGGAGAGGTCAGACTCCCAGCCAGGAGCTGGGAACATGGACTGTGGTCCCGTGAGAAGCATGCGGAGGCGAGGAGGAGCAGCCAGGAGACAGGGCACGGGTTGGGGGTTGGCAAGAGGCTATGCACAGTCCTCCTGAGGGTGAGCTGTGGCCTCGGACTGGGAGCCCCGCACAGGACACACCACCTCCTCCTCGGGGCGCAGGGGCCGCACAGAAAGTGGGTGGGAAGCGCCCCCACCGGGCGGCCGTGTGACGGGATGTGCACGCGCAGGGCTGCGGCTCGACTGGTGCGTCCGTGCTCCCCCTGTCCCCCTACTTTCTTAGGGGGCGGTGGTGAGAGGCCAGAGAATCGTAAAAGCTGGAGCCTTGGTGGACGGGGAGCCTTTCACAATCTTTCAGGAGAGCACTCGAGGGTGACCAGAAGAACCCAAAGCAGAGAATCAGGAAGGCACCGGGGACACACCCTCAGGGGCTGTGTCCTCAGCATGAAGACCCTGAGAAACCGCTGGGGGTGACCAGGGGAAAAAGCAAAGGTGCTTCTGCAGGGCCACACCACCAACTCAAATCTCTTCGGAGACCCATCCCTACCACTCAGGCCCGCGTGAAAGGGGAGAAGGAGGGAGCGCGCACACGAGCGAGCAGACGTGCCTGTGAGGTGGGACCTCGGGGCTGTGTTTGGTCGACGCCTGGGGCGGGGGCTGAGGCTGCACCCAGAGCCTCGACAACCCAGCACCCTCGGCACCCTCTGACTCTTTCCTTTCCCTCAACGGTCCTCAAAGCAAAAGACATTCTCCCGTGTTTAAAAAAGGGCCTGCACCTTCCTCAGTCTCTGCTGGCCCAGGCATTCTGGGGCCACAGAGCCAGCAGCACACAGGGCTCGGGGACCCAGGGCTCGTGAGAAGAAATGTGCAGCCTTCTCTGTGCCCCGTGGTGAGGGAGGGAGGGTGGGGCCAGGGGCCACGAGAGGCCTAACCGCATTGCCTGGCCAGATCGCAGGTGATCAGACTACCTGTATCTTCAGTCTCTGCGAGAGACAGCTACCCTGTAAAAATCACCCATTTCCAGCAGAATTACCAGGAAATCAGAAGTGTCCAAGAGGGGAAGGTGTAGCTCAGTGGTAGAGTACGTAGCTCAGTGGTACCCAGCATGCACAAGGTCCTGGGTTCAATCCTCAGTACCTCCATTACAGATAAAAAAATAAAAACCCAGTTACCACCCCCCTAAATAAAAAACACATTAAAAAAAAAGTGGTAAAACTCTTACTGCTCCTGATCAAGGGAAAGTGGCTGGGAGCACCCCCCTGCGCGGGCACGTCTTGTTCCTCTGCCTGAAGCCCAGCTAGACTGGACGCCAAAGGACCACGGTCCTGGTAGTGCTCGCAGCCCCTGCCCTCCTAACCTGCACGCTCAACCCACCAAATTCATCCACAAGCTACGCCCAGTGCCCCACAAGCGCTGGAGGGCCGGGTACCACATGAACCCGAGTGTCACAGTGAAGCCGAGGAGGGCTCGCCCAGCACACAGCCCAGGGCCTTCCTGAGACCCTGCCCTGCCCAGCAGATACCACAGGGTCAGCCGCCCCCACCGCCCACAGGGAGGGACCCCAAAAGCTGCTGGAGGAGAATTATCAGTACAGAGAGAAAGAACTGCTCTGTCGAGAAAGGTGTGTGGCGAGTGCAGCCCAGTAACAGCGGCAGAGAGAAGACGCGGCGAGCGGAGGTGGTTCTGAGGCCCGGGCTGCATGCACCTCGCGGGCCTCGGAGCGCGCTCGCCGTCAGAGGAGACGGGAGCCCCTGCCCCGCGACACGCAGCCAGGTGCCAGGCTCTAAAAGGCCCCTGCCAACCACAGCACGCAGTGACTGCCAGCAGCACGCCGCCCCCACCCCCGATGGGCGCTGTGCTGGGGGCGGGCCCGGCTGGCAAGGACCAGGACAGAGTCTCCAGGCGGGTGTGCCGGTGACTGACGGCACGAGCAGGTGGGCGCTCCCCAGCCAGCAGGGAAGACGGACAAGCCTCCCAGACCGGCCTGCGGCCAGCGCCCCACGGAGGGCAGCAGAAGAGAGAAGTCCCCATTACATGTCCCAGCACAGCTGGGGGGTGAGCCCTGACCCCGCAGAGCCAGTCACTGAGATACTCAAATAGGGCCGAACAGCACGGAGGGGCCCCTCGCCCCCCGTGGTTCAAATGCTCAGAGATGGGGGAGAAGGGG